TCATCATCATCATCATCATCGTCACCACATTAGGGACGCTGAGCCCGGTTCTCAGCAAGTTCGGTTCGTTTTTTCCAGGCAGACTGTGAGGACCCCGGCCTCATTTCTCTGATTGGTAATTAAAAAAAAAAAAAAAAAAAAAAAAAAAAAAAGAGGTGATTGAGGGGGTTGTGGAAGACATGGTCAAAGTGGGTAGGGTTCAGGTTGATGCGGGGCATGGGAGAGATTGGGTGGGCGTTGTTTCAGCGAGGGGTTAGGAGAGTGTGGGTGGGATTGATGTCCTCTCCACTTCATCTAGACTATGAGCATTGTTCATTTCCATGATTATTTGTTCTAATAGACAGTGGCTCTGATATTAAGCTTACACCACCAGTACACGGCTTCAGCCTTGCAGAAAATTTTTCGTCCCCCTCTCCAAAAATTTTGCGTCTCGGGGCCTACCAGACCTCAATGGCTGGCGGTGCCAGCCGAAAAAGGAAACAGTTGCGCCCCAGGGCGTTCGGCACGCTCGGTGCCCAGTGAAATGTCTTCAGATCTAGGTGTACTGGTGCTTTAAGAGGAAGGACAGATAGCAGGTTGAACTTCTCCCATTGGTTACGCTCCTCAAGATATTATCTTCCAAGAGGATTTGTAGGAAGATGAGTACTCTATACACAAAATCATAGGAAGTTGATAACTGCTTGTGGGTTATTCTCCTCTGAGTCAAATTGCAAAATGATTAGGATGATTCCTTTAAGGTAGGATAGGGAGTTGGGGCGGACTGCGTCCATGATGCCTTCTACATTGGTCTCTTGGGCCTACCTTCTTCCCCCGAATAGAACGCCCGGTCCTTATAGCTGCATTTGGCCCAACTTTCAGTCCAAATGCAGCGATGATGACCGGGCGTTCTATTCGGGTGAAGACGGTAGTATTTGAATCATTTGAGAACCATGGCAGTTGAGGACTTTGTCTCAATCGTTATAGGATGAGTCCTGGTTGGATGGCAAGTGCTGCGACCAGTGACATTCTCTGGATATTGTCCTACTGTACTTTGATTCCTAGTCACCGCTCACCCTCCTCTTTGCATCTCAAGAGACTAAAAATGACGGCGCCTGATGGCACGAGTGCTGGGAAGCTGTCGTCGTTTTGAAGGCGCACTAGGTCCCTCAATTTGTCTTGGGTGATCACTGACTTGGCCTTGTATCTCATCGTTTAAGTCTTCATCCGTTTGTTCTGCAGTTATAAGGTCAACCACTCGTATCTAAGCTTGGGACGGGCGAGGAGGGCAGTAATGTCGCTATACACTTTTGTTTCCTCATCGCTGTCTCAAAATGTAGTTTTGCCTCCTGTCTGTTCTGGCTCATTGATGAGTACCGAGGAGATTCTACTATACCCAGTGTTTGAGTATGAGAGGACTTAGGAAGTCTCTTTTTGATAGAGTGGTTGTGTAGTGTTTTACATAGCTTGAGTCGAGGACAAGGTGTTTAGGCTATGGTATCCCCTGATGATGGAATGCTTACCCGGGCCATGTGGTCCTGGTCCTTGCCATTTGAAATGCCATGTGTGTGAGTGTTAGCATACAGTTCTATCTTGTCGAAAAGTTTTACATAAGCAACTTTGTACCAGCCTCACTCCATTCCATGCCTAACAGAGAACACTGTATTTTTCTAGTGTGGTGGTCATATGCAGCGAGTATATCAACGTTTTTTTCACCTTCTCCCAATGCGTACTTTAAACTACGTCCATTGGTCTGTCATCGGATAATGGAATAAAAGTCATTTAAAACGTGCAGCTTGTGTTTCGCTTCATGATCGGCTGATAAAGGGAGTGGAAAGGCGCTTAAGGGAGTGGAGAGGCGCTTACCTCGAAGGCGCTGTGCCCTTGGGGAACCTCCACTTCCATGAAAGTTGCATGGGCTTCCGCTTGTTTTCCTATGATGCGTTTTCCAGGCCGCAAGCCCCTGATCATCTATCCCTTGGACTCATGAGTCTTTGCAAGATTGTTGACCCACTATTGGCAGGTCATCTGTATCCTTAGCTGCCAAGGGAACCTCCAGGGATAGGTCCAAAATATTCTTGCACTGTGGATGTTGCTGTTCAGTCACCTGATGTTGCGGCGGTGGCATTTGTTTCAGCTGCAGTGTGTGTGCATTTGTTTCTCTTGCTCTGCAAGTATGGCTGCAATTGCTGTTGGTGTTATTACATCAGCTGTTTTCGTTGCTAGCGCAGTCGTTGTTGCCATTGCTGCTCCTGCTATTGTTGATGATGCAGTCTGAGTTGCTGTTGCTAAAGCAACAGCAAGTGATGTTGATGCGACTGCCTCTTGCTGCAATTACTGTAGTAGTTGTGTATGTCGCTGCTGTTCTTGTTGCACTGTTGCAACATCTGTTGTTGCAGTGGCTGTTGAAGCTATATGCACTGCTGATGTTTCTATTGTGCCTTCTGCTCCTGTTTCTGTTGCTCCTGCTGCAACAACTGCTGCTGTTGCTCTTGTTGCAGATGCAGATGCAGATGCAGATGCAGATGCAGATGCTGTTGTCGTTCTCGGTGCGCCTTTTGCTGCAGTGACACCTGTTGTTGTTGTTGTTGTTGCTGGTGTTACAGCAGCTGCTTCTGCCGCATGTTTTGCTGTTTATACTGTCGCTTCTATTGCGTCATTAGTTCCTGTTCAAGTTGGTATTATTATAGTAGCATCTTTGTTTTTTGTTTTTTTTCCTTCTTCTTTTTTTTTTTTTCTTTTTTCTTTTTGTCCCTATAGTAGCATCTACTGCAGTAATTATCGTTATTGCTGCTGTTGCTTCCACTGTTGCTGGTGCTGCTGTAGTTGCACTTGCTGTTATAGCCGAAAGTGCTGCTGATGTTCCTTATGCCTGTTGATCCTGATGGTCCAGTTATGCCTGTTGCTGTTATGACTCGTGTTGGCATTGTCGCAGTTGCAAATGCTGCAGAAACTGGCTCTGCTGATGTTGTGCTTGCATTTGTTGTTGCAGCATCATGCGGTGCTGCTATTCCTGTTGCGCCTATGCAGCAACAACACCTGCTCATGCTTCTGTTGTTTCGTTTGCGTTTGTTGTTACAGTACTGTTTCTTTTGCGCCTGTTGTTTCTGTGACGCCAGCTGCAGCAAGTGACGTTGGTGGTGCTGCTACTGCTGTAATTGTTGTTGCAGTTGCATGTGCTGCTGCTGTTCCGGTTGTGCCTATTGCTGCAGCGATGGCGCTAATGCTGCTGCTGTTCATGTTGCGCCTGTTGCTGCAGTTACTCCTGCTGATGTTGTTGCTGAGGTGCGTACTGTCGCAGTTGTTGCTGCGATTGATGTTGTCGTTGTGACTGCCTAGACCGTTGATGTTGTTGTGGCGCTGGCAACACTGGCAGCAGTGTCTTTGAATGTGGCAGCAGTGACTTGTGGTCCTGCTGCTGCAACTGTTGTAGTTCGGATGGTTGCAGCAGTGGTTGTGGGACCTGAGTGGTTGGTGCTGGCAAGGGCAGCAATTCTTGAGCCTGTAGCAGTGGTATCTATGAATCTTACAGTTGTTGGGCCAGCTAGCACTGGTGGCCTCGGTCCGGCTGCGATTGCCACTGTGGGCATGCCTGGAGGCCCGGAGGGGCTGTCACAGGCAGCAGGTGAGGGAGAACTCCTAACGCTCCTTTTCCCGTAATTTTCTTAAAGTTTGTGCCTCTCCTTGAATATGCTCTAGTGGCTGTTTGTGAAGTGCAAGGTCTCAGTGCGGGGGAAGGGCAGCCTTTGTTACTTTATTAAGCCTGTAGCTTTACCAAGCATGCAAGTTGAGGGACAGTGCCACACGGGGGGTTTTCACGGTATGTCATTTTCAAACCGTCTGCCCACCCCTTGCAAAACAGTCACAGGCATAGGAGCTGCATGCTGTTCAAAGCCGAGAACAGCTAGTTTCTGTATCTGATTTACCGGAGCGAGAAGTTTGATCAAACCTTCCTTTGCAGTGATCACCAGGGAACTCGACGCACATGCCATCCACATCTATGTATACCCCGTGGTAACGACGATGGGGTCACACTCGGATTGCGGTCGGGATCCCGACAGTCACGTCCCGGGCGATCGGGCGGGGCCGAGAAATCTTCATATTTATTAAAAAAAAAACTAATGGGCCACAAAAAAAAAAAAAAAAAAAAAAAAAAAAAAAAAAAAAAAAAAANAAAAAAAAAAAAAAAAGAAGTTGTAGTTTTTTTTTTTTTAACTCAACTTTGCAATTTATTGTAGCCAAACCAAAAAGGAGGCCGGGAATCCCTCCACATAAACCACCTGGGGAAGCGAGTAACCTCTGGGACCATTACCCAGCTTATGGTGCAGGCATTGGGGATTATAGTCCAGTAGCAGAATTGGCCGAATCCTGACCGCTGCTCTGACATTCCCCAACCCTGGGAAAGAACAAACTGCCTTCACGGCCTTCAAGAACCACACAATCCCGAAAAACAAAAATCACAAAAGAAGAAAATTTGCCTCACGGCCTTCAAATCCGCACAAACCTAAATACAGGGGTACACTTGCAACCCCATATTCCAGGACTACTCCTCTATCTACTTATCTCCATTTTGCGAGCTAACAATTAAACCACCAGTACTTGGGCACTGCGCGCCACGCCGGCCGCACCTTTTTTGAAGCGGCGCGGGCTGTCGATACGATTTATCGAGCGCCGGTAGCGAAATTCTCGTAGCGTTAACGCTAAGGCGTCCCAAGTACTGGTGGTTTAAGAAGCAAGACAGACAGTGGTACCTTCTATGGGGGTGGGGAGAGATTCTCAGGGACAAGAACTCAACAAAATCCTACTATGTATCTAACCTATATCCTCTCTTACTTATACCTTGCTAAAGTATGACTGCGTAACCTAGAGACGGCCTTACGGGCCTAAGTTACCCAGCTCTGCCCCTTATCAACGAGGCAGAGGTGAGTTTGGATATAGCCGCTCCCTCCTCTGTTCCCTCTGGTACTGCCCGTCTACTGCGACCCAAAACAGAGGAATTCCAGGCAACCGAGCAGGCTAGGTTGAGAAGATCACCCGTACGACCAGAAGATAATAAACAGCCTACTGCCTATCAGTCCTGGAGCAACCAGCCACTGAAAGAGATCTGATTACCTTCCACCTTCACTATAGTATTGCCAACTGCCCAAGTCTCTTGGAACCACTGCGGGCCAGTGAGTGAGAGCTTAGGGTATTTGACCTTTCTTCGCCAATCTGCGTAAATAGCTCGTCTCATCCACAAGCAAACGTGCTGCGGAATTGCTTGTTGGACCAGTCGCTCTCATCAAACACAATGTTGTTACGGTGCTGCCATATGACTGCGAAACCTGTGGCCCGGATGATCTGGGCCACATAGCCCCAGCCCTTCCATTTGGGAAGGTCTGCTGAGAGACCGCCCAACAAGGTCCATTCCTTGGACCAGTCCATTGCAGTGTTCGAAACCCGGTTCCACTGCTTTATGATCCACTTCCAAAATCTACTGGAGACCGGACAATCCCACCATAAGTGGATGAAGGATTCAAAAGCCCATTGACATCTGAGGCACTTGAGATCAATTCTCATTCCCCCTTCAGCAAGCCAGACCGCTGAGGGGGTTGAGACTAAGGATACAAGCCACAGCAGAGACGCATGTCTCTGATTCGGGAGTTGTGGCAGCTGGGCCCAGCAAGAAGTTAATGCTTGATTTAGATCTATTCCATTTGTTTGGAGGAGTTGAGCCCACCTGACCCGTGCTACCATTATAGGTTGTTTCAACGGTTGGTTCACGATATAACCAATTCTTAACGTGTACTCAACTAAATTGGCGTTTGAACCTCTGGGGCCAGTGATGGTCCATTCCCAGAGGGCAGGATCCAGTTTTAACTGCTGAGCTGGCATTTCATGATTGAACAGTTGGCATACCACTGAGTCACCTGATTTTGGAAACTCAAAAACTCTGATCTGATGTAGTGTCGTGCCCAGTGGGGGTGGGGGGTTTTCCTCTTCCTCCTTCACAAGGTTAGATTGTGCTACTGACCAACATTGAAACTTCCTTTGGCCATTTTCATCGATGGAATTTAGTTTCCAAACTTGCTGCAGTGGGGGTTCTGAGTTGGTGAACCAGGTGCCCGGGGGGTCTGTCCCCTCTGGAGCTACGATTTGCTTCCAACGCGAGGGGATCGCATTGACGAGGGCCTGTTTTCTATCCTTGATATACCTCACCTGGCCCAGTTTTTGTCTCAGCTCTTCGTCTGTTTTCCATGTACCCATGAACAGATCCCACAAATCCTTTATTCACAATACTCCTCTCTCTATCCATGATCGGCCAAAGCTTCCTTTCGAGGAGTCAGCCGTAAACCATTCCCCTGACTGATCCCGGATTCTTGGGTTTTCGAATAATGAATGAGCCAATACTTCGTTTTTTGTCTGAGGCTCCGTCCAGATGTTTGGTTTGGTCTTTTTCCAAGCTTGGATGATAACAGTCCACAGGGGGGACTTTATTTGTCGTCTCTGATAGGAGTGCAACTGAAGGCAAGTCCAAACATCTTCCGGACGACTAGGATTCCATTCGCAACTCAGGATAGTTTCAGCCAAGCACACCCAATGGGGGGCCGGGGAGGTAAGACCCGCTTTGATGATCCAGGTGCAGAGCATTGCCATTATCTGTCGCTGTGGGTCAAGTATGCCCAAACCGCCCTCACTACGAGGGCAGCAGAGCATTTCCCAAGCAACTTTTGATATGAACGACTCCCCTTCTTCAGCGTAGGGCTTCCAGATCAGCTTTGCTGATCTTCGTTTGATGAGGGAGTAGGAAAGGTTGCTCAGGCCTCGAACTCTGCCTGCATACCATAATAGAGCAAATAGTGCACTGTTCACCACTAAGGCTCGTCCAAACAGAGACAGATGAGGGGTTTTACCCCATGTGCCTAAACGAAGAAGCACTTTCTGAGTGAGGATGCTTTCTTGCATCTCGGGGTAGTACTTCAATGCGATCTGGATGCCCAAGAATCGTTCTGATTCGTCATCCTTGATATGTTTCATTCCCCATTCAACACATAATGAAAATTCTGTTGGCAGAAAGAATACGGACTTATGCCGATTTAAGGCTGCTTCTGATAGGTCTGAGAACTATCCAGGTAGGACTTTAGTGCAACTAAGGATTCAGGTGTGTTCTAAGACACCGCGAACAAATCATCCGCCAAGGCTTTCCCCTTGTACGGAGTGGGGCCTGCTTGTAGGCCAACAATTTGGGAGTGAGCCCGAATGTTATTCAAGTCTTTTTTCAAGACCCCTTCCATCTGGATAGCAAAAAGCAAGGGCGCGAGTGGGCACCCTTGCCGCAGTGAACGCGTTAAGGAGAATTCCCCTGAGAGACGACCATTCACCATTCACCATAACCGCTGCTGTTGATAATGTGTACAACATTTTTGTCCATCTGTAAAAATTCTGGCCAAACCCCATCCAGTTTAGAGTGGTGAGGACGTATAACCAGTTTAGCCGGTCATACGCCTTCTCCAGATCCAACAATAGGACAACAATGTCCATATTTTCATTTTGTACAACCTCCAAGGTTTCGATGCCGATTATGATGTTGTCAAATATGGAACGACCCTTGATAAAAGCGGCTTGGTCAGAATGTACTAAAGAGGGGATGTACTGTGTCAGGCGTCTGACGAGTACTTTCGCCAGTATTTTATATGATACATTCAAGACTGAGATCGGATGCCAATTACGTATTTCGATCTGTCCCCTTTTTTAAAAAGGACCGAGATGATGCCTCTGCACATTCCTGCAGATAGACTGCCATCCTCTAGTACATCATTGTAGATACCTGTCAAGTGTTCACCAATTTCTGACCAAATAAATAAATAAAGTTCCGCTGGGAGACCATCATCTCCCGGGGCTTTTCTTGTTGGCATAGCTTTTAAGGCTTCGAGTGCTTCAAAAGCAGAGACTGACCGATCAAGATTAAGTCTATCCGGATCTGAGAGTCGGGCGGTTGTGTTTGCCCAGTGTGAGGTTGTTTCATGCAAATGATTGTAGACCTGATGAGTCTGCTTGCGTGAGGTCAGAATATCCTTGTAATACAGCGCAGCGTATTCACAGAGGTCCTTAAGCTCTTTGGCTTTCGGGGCGACTTCGTCAAAAGGGTGTTTCAATTCTTTCATTGGCACCGATGACCTTTTTGGGAGCAACTTTTGGAAAGTGTCCTTGATCATCCGATCGTTGACAATGATTCCCTTTATTCGAAGTCGTTCAACCCAAATTTCTGACTGTTTAACCTGGATATCATCCCATTTAGAAAGCAATCTCACTCTCTCTCTACCCCATACTTTTTCAGAAACGGGGCATTCCATCATCCTGGATTCAGCATATGCCACCTTTTTTGGAAGGCTCATAAGTTTTCTATCTCTTTCAAATGCGAGAATCCTCGAGAGAACATTGAAAAGGTTAGAGAACATTGTAGAGCCGGTGTCCCACCATTCCGCGCTTGAATTGAAATTCGGGCGAGAGGTTGCCCAATCATCCCAAAATTTCTTCATCCAAGCGACAAGTCCTGGTTCATTTAAGTTATGAGTGTTAAACCTGAACAGACCTTTTCCACGTGTGAGCCTCGCTCCACTACTCTCCAAATGCTCAAAATGAGACTGAATACTCCGCTAGAACATGGAAAGATGCAGTGACAATTTTTTGTCTATTGTGCATCTGGAGAGTCGATGCCCTTTAATTAATCCAGGGTTAACACGGCCACAGGGCAGAGTTTGAATCGTTATGAAGTATCAGAGCATTGGCATTCATGACAC